TTGGCATTAAATTGATCCATTCATTGTAACAATTGATTGATTAGAAATAAAGCTAAATGCCTTTTTAAGTTACTATGTCCTTATGTGACAAGACTTTTGTCAATGACTGTACAGTAGCAACGTGTGGAATACGTATAGTGGAACTGAATAAATAAATACTAAGTTAGGAGTTCAGGATATCTTGGTGCACAGCTCCACACTCACCATTAATCAAACATCTCTAACGGACACAAATTCATGCACAATTTCACAGCTAATTTAATGCTTTAGCTCAAAGTAATTTGATGGTATGTAATAAAATTACATAATAGTTCTCTTCTGTCCTCTGGGGTGATCAGTTGCTAAGTCATCATCTGGGAAACTAAAATTTGTCACAAAGTTGCAAGTGACTCAGGTGGTTTAAACGTTAGATCTTAGCGACATGCTACACGTGTCTGTGGTCATACTGGTCATTAATGGGAATTATAAGCTGCCCGTTAACTCACCAGTGATGATGTGTAGTTAGGACAGTGGTCAGTTTTACTCCATGCTTTTTCACTGCATCTACAACCTTTTTAAAAAAATAAAAATAAAAAAAAAACATAGGATTTTCACTCATTTGCTAAGAGTCTTGAACAGTTTGAGGGGTGATGATTACGGAAGAGGATTAGGGCCACCATGAAAATATTATTTGAATTCTAACTTTAATGTCAGAATTCTGAGGAAAAAAAAAGTCAGAAATTCTGAGAAAAAAAAAGTCAGAATTCAAATAATATTTTCATGGTGGCCCTAATCCTCTTCCGTAGATGTTAATATAAGCAACATGGCATAAAGAAAAATGAGTGGGTCACCTTCGCAGGTTCCACTGGGTCCACAATAGCGGCCTCCCTGGTGTCCTCATCAATAAGAAGATACATATAATTATCAGTGAGCGCAGGTAGGATCTCAACCCTCATGTCGGACTGGGTCACTGCGCAGGACTTCCTGTGAGTGTGGAGGGCCGAGCGGATCTGGGCCGGACCTCCGCGGGGAAAAGGGATGCAATCAGCATACATACCATCCATCAGCTCACACGCCATCCACACATCCAATCGTTCATTTTATACACTGTTTTGTTCGCGGTTTCTGGCAATTTCAGCATGGGAAGACATTCTTAAAAGCTTTATTTTCTTATCCAGAGTTACAATGGGCATGTTTCAGCGTGTAACGATAAACCAATCGCCGTCGCCTCGCTACAAAATAACTTAAGTGTCGGTGTTACTTCTCCTTTCTAATGAGTGCAACCCCTTCGCGCATATCAGCGGACAAGATCAAGTACTGTATTTTAGCAACAAAAATGATGGCGGTCATTTAAAGATTAATAATGTACGCACGTCAGAAATAATTACCAAGTATGCAAAAAGTGAGCTGACTAACGGGGCGTTGGTCTTTCGCAAGGCTGCCTAGTGCAACGCAACACCGACTGCTGTCATAGCCAGCATTTGATGCAGTGTACATGCTATTTTGAGCCTTTGTGAGGCTGAAATAAGGTGCCAAATCTCATCGATAAGAGAGGCCGGACCACGGGCATGTGGCTGCGGGGTCTGCGCCACTTTCGGGATCCGTGCGGACCTGTAAACACTGGACCCGACTTAACTTTGCTGTGTAAGACGGTGCTAGCTTAACCTTCACCGCCGTGCACACACAACGGTGGAGGATAGAAATGATTTAAATGTCGGTTTTTGCAGACGCTGCGGCAAACGGAGCGTATTTGGCCATTTATAGCGACGTACCAAATTTATACGCAGCAGCTCCTCCCAGCACACCAAGAGTGCAAGCACTCGCCACCAGCGACCTGAATAACATATCAAACTAATAAATTGGAAGAACGGGGTCCGTTTAAGGCACAGCCGTCCCCCTTAACTTTGACCTACGAGCGATCAACCAATCCAGCCTGGGGGTGTGACACCGGCGTCATTCCTGAAAGACACTAGCCAACCCGGACACCTGTTCGAAATATCGACACGCATGGAGCAAATTAAGCTGAATGGCTATTAATATCTACGATTTAGTACAATGTAGCTTGTAGTACGATTTTCCTATGACAATGAATATTTTTTCATCTGAAAAAATGAAACGCGTTTTGGAAAATGGCACTGTTTGTTGCCTCCCTGATTCCGTACTGGGATGGCCGTTCAAAGGTCATTCCCAGAAGAGGGCGCATACAGGTGTCTCAGGCAAGTCAGTAGTTTTGGAAAATGACAGCCCCAAGAAATATATCACGGTTTTGGGAGTGGGGAAGAAAAATTATCTGCGTGGGGAGGAATTACGCTGACCATGCAAAAGAGCTGAAGAATGCGGTTCCAACCGAGCCAGTCCTCTTCCTGAAGCCCCCCACGGCGTACGTGAAAGAGGGCTCCCTTATCCTGGTGCCGTCTTACTGCCGCGACCTGCACCATGAAGTCGAGCTCGGGGTAGTTATTGGCAAAGGGGGCACGGCCATCTCCCGGTCGGCCGCGATGGACCATGTGGCTGGGTACGCTTTGTGCTTAGACATGACTGCGAGAGACGTCCAGGAGGACTGCAAGTCCAAAGGTCTCCCCTGGACTTTGGCCAAAGCCTTCAACACGTCCTGCCCCGTCAGCGAGTTCATACCCAAAGAGAAGCTCCCAGATCCAGGCAACGTCAAGATATGGCTAAAGGTGAATAACCAGCTGCGACAGGACGGCCACACGTCGCACATGATATTCTCCATTCCGTTTCTTGTCAGCTACATCAGCGACATTATCACCCTGGAGGAAGGGGACCTGATCCTCACGGGAACCCCCCGAGGCGTGGGCAGTGTCCAGGAGCACGATGAGATCGAGGCTGGCATTGAGAACGTGGTGCAGATGACCTTCAGTGTCGGCCGTCCGTGAAAAAACGATAACATTTAGGGTTGAAGTCTCCACTCATGGGGGCGTGCAGGGGGTTGTATTGGCTAGTTTTGAGTACGGGGGGGGGGTTACAACCCCCATCCGCCCATAATTTACGTCTGTGTTATGAACAAAACATTATCAGGGATCCATTAATATAAGCCACTGAACTGTCTCACTTGAAGAAGGTATACGTTAAAACCTCGTGACCCATGTGAAGCCTTTATATAAATGAAGCTGTAAAATTTATTTATGGTATAGTAATGTCCCTGTCTTGATTGTGGATGCGGCAGCGCGCTGTACCTGTGCATGTCAGTGCAACCGGTGAAACCTGTCCTGACCTGACCTATCTTGATAGTTCCCTGTTGGGTGAAAAGTAGTTCTACTTTTTCCCCAGCAGAGGGCAGTAGGGACCCAGTTATTCCAAACCGCGTTTTTCTAGCGTCAGTTGCCGAAGTTTTGGATAGAGGTGACGCTGCTACACATTTATTCATTTACATGGCTGGATATCCACCAGTACAGTGTGGGTTAAGCATGTGCCAGGATTGAAATTCTCTTGTGAACGAGAGCCAGAAACGAGTAACCAGGCCAGCCAAGAACTGTATAACCAATAGACCATTTTAAACTTTAATCTTTGCAGGCTAATGTATGTCAAAAGAGAGCAGCAACCCATTAACAAAAAACATCCATCCATTTCCATAACCACTTATCCAATATCGGGTCATAGGGAGGCTGCAGTTTGACCCAGAAAACGCTGGGTGGAGGACAGGGTACCCTCACACACTCACTGACGGCTACTCATGAATCACATGTCTTTGCACTGTGTTACTTTGTGAATTTACATGTGAGTCACGCCGATGAATGTCTCTGTGATTCTCGATACAGTAAACGATCTGCTCCCTTGTTCTTACCTAAGCGTGATCCTTACGTGGCTGTCCCTGACATGACCGCATTCCTCCCAGTGGTGTGGAACATCTGTTCCAGGTTCAGTTAGCGGTCTCCTCACGGCCCCTTAATCATGTGCCCCCTGGCCATCCCGTGCTCATCTCCTGTAACACGAGGCCCCTGCGACTGAGATTTCCCTGCCTCTCCGAGGCATTCTGTCATTCCGGGCTCTCCGGGGTCGGAGATCACGATGTTTGATTTATCAGCAGCCTGAAATTGACCTTCCCCACGTATGTCATCTGGATGGAGAATCCCAGTGAGCAGTGCCATCTCACCAGAACGGGGCACGGAGACCCGTGTTGGTGTCACACCCTGCTTGATTTTTAAACGTAATTCCTGTGTTAAGGATCCTCTGTCATACAGCCTTTATTACGGCTTTGCTGATTTCTAAAGCTGCTTCCGGAATCTCCAGTTCGGTCCCCTTTTGTAAGGTCTTCTCACATCCCTGTCTCTCTCCTGCCAGTGAGCTGGTGTGACGTCCTGAAATGTTCACACTAACGGAGGATAGTAAAGGTATACGCTGCATTCCCTGTGTCAGTGAAAGTGCTTTACAGTGTCCACTTCCTCTCCCCGCTTACGTCACTCAAACAAAATTTAATGTTTTTAAATTTAAACACATCTCCTCTATTACCGGAAACCCCCTAGTGGTGGCCTTAAGGACCTTTAATTAGAAACATCTCCTGCCTCTTTCAAGTAGATGAGAGCTGGGCCCATGGCCGCACTGCAGGGACACTTGGGGGCGTGTCCGGCCACTCCAGGGCCCTGATCAGAGATGCCGCTCCATAGCGGGTCCGCTTCCTTGGTGAATGGCTCCCTCACTGCGCACTGCTGTTTGTCGCTGCAGGCAAGTCTTTGGACGGCTGTGGCATGTGCCACGTCCTGTGCAGGACCTCCATTCTGTCACCGTGACGATACCCAGGTGGCAATCTTCCAGGTGTTTCCCCCTGCATAGGGACACACAAGATCGTCCCCCCCCCTCTTCAAAGTGCAGTAAAACCATGTGCTTGGTCCCTGTGTGCTAAACATGATAAACCAGGTTACATGGTGTCAGCTTCTGAGGTTTCCCCCTCCATGTTCACAGAGCGCCCCCTTTTGGCATGTATCTGTCACTGTCATGCAGCTTTTTCTTCTCCTTTCAGTTTTTTTCCAAAGTCCCCTCCCCCACCCAGCCCTGGCACAGCATGTATGGCAGACAGACAGCCCGGCATGCCCCCCCAATGCCACTCCAGAGCCTGCCAAAGCATGCGTGGCAGACAGACAGCCCAGCGTGTACCCCGTGCCCCCCCCCCCCCCCAGCCCTCGCTTCCATGAATACCGATATGCTCCAGGCGATTCCTCCATGCGTTGCAGACGGCAATTTGGGGGGCGACCTTACGGGGATGGGACCTGGGGGCAGATGGAGCCCCTCCAGGAGCAGGGGAGGGGGGCCAGTCTGGGAGGGGCTTTCAGGGCTGCCCCCCCCACCCCCGGCATGCCCCTCTGCATTCCAATAGGGCCAGGCTGAATGGGGCCCTCTCGCGTAAATGGATGTCCCTACTCAGTTTGCAGGGCTCTTGTCCTCCTGCACAAAGGCAGACCTTGCTGAGAGGCCCTCAAAGACCCACTTCATCTAAAAGGGAATCAACTCGAAGAAAAACAACCGAGGAAAATCCCTATAAAATGAACCCCCCCTGGGCACCCACCCCCTCCCTTTTGCATTTGACTTGTGCATCTGAAGATTCATGCCAATGGAGAGTGGTGACAGAAATGCTTGGGATGGAGAAATTAAACATTCCCAACCAACACCAGTCGGAACCAGGCAAACCTCTCTCTTATCTTAATAGCGCAGTACCCCACATTGGTCAGAAGGGGGTGCAGTGGTCAAGGCAGCAGTCTCCCACCCAGTGAGGGCTTGTAAGTGCAGTGTCATAGAGTGGACAGCCTTTAACCACACACAGCATTTGAATCTATTTATAAAGACATTATAAATGTGGGATCACAGTGTGGTACCAGAACAGAGTACCAGACGAGTCTTACTTACAAATAACTTTGGTTTATTTACAGTTTAGTGGATTTAAACTCTACAGGCACATACCTAACAGTATTCTTTGCAGAAAAATGTCAGAAATGTTATTGTGGATTGATTGTTTTACATTTCACGTCCTCACAAGCACCGTGTGGTGAGGTTATACCCGCGCAGCCCCCTCCCTTAGGCAGCTGTGATTCAGCACCCACCAGCAAAATCGCAGGATGTCAGTGAAGGTGTCTCACTAGCAAAGCTATTGCATTGGATACTGTGAGCTGAAATCTGGCAGGTTGTCTGTGAGCTCCATCACAGAAGCCTGGGCCACACGACGGACTCGTCTCTTAGTCAGACTGAAGGGCAAACTGTGGCCTAACTCGACAGCCAGCATCTGACTCTGTGACGCAGCAATAGTATTATTGTCTGGGACAGTGATAAATGTATTGATGTGTGAAAGCTGGAATCCGCAGCTAAAAATAAACCCTTTACTGCTGGTTGGAGTTATGTCCCACCTGTGTGGCTATGCTGTTGATGGTATTGTGGGCCAAACTCTAAAATAAATTAAATGACACAGACACACAGACATAGGCATACCGACTGGGTCTGCCTGGTCACCAGATCGACATGCCAGTGACCCCAATTCTGAGTGAATCGCAACAGAGTGTCACCGCAGAGTGTCATCGGGAAGAACAGAAAGTAATTCCAGTTTTCTTTGGTGTCTTTGAACTGTGTCAAAAGGCATGTGGCTTGGGAGGACGTGTGACCTCCAGGACGGTGTGTGACTCCCCCCCCCCGCCCCCGCCCCTGCCCCTGCCCTTGCCCTCCATCCTGACCATAGCAGTACTCTGTTCTGATGAGCAATTCTAGAGAACTGTCAGTTTGTAGTGAGAATTTCCTGGGCGTGTCTAATGAAGTTCTTTTGAGGAGCTATTATATTCTAGCAGGTTCTCGGGCTACAGCAACATCCTGTGACGCTGAGAACAGGAAGTGGAAGGACGGTCCACAGTTCGATAGCACCTCTGACCGAGCGATATTCCACTGCAGCATATTTCAGTCCCAGCCAAAGTCCTGGCCACTCATCTGGTAAAACTTAAGGTTGAAGGGCCTGTAGAAGTCTCTAAGGCGCTGCAGCGCCCCCTGCGGGATCGCAGGGTGAGGGCGGCCCTTGGATTTGCCCAGGCAGCGCGGCCGACTGCTGCCCTCGGGTTTCTTAAGGCAGGGGAAGCCCTTGGTTTGGTTGAAGTAAAAGTGCTTGCTTCCCACAATGCGACGCAGCCCCAGAAAGTCCTGCACGCGGCCCACCTCACCGGCCGGGTCCAGCACCAGTCGCTCGCCGCTCACAAACAGGAAGCTGGAGGGCGGGAAGAAGCGCAGCCAGTTCTCCAGGTGCTTGGCGTAGATGCCGATGCGTACGGCACTCCAGGACGTGTCCACCGGGCCGCGGCTGCCATTCCGAAAGGCAAGGTCCTGGAACGGGGGCAGAGCCGGATTCTTCGACTTGGTCTGCGTGTAGTCCGAGACGGCGCGGGTGACGGGGTCACGCACCACCACGATGAGTTTGGTCTGGCTTCTCAGGGCAAAGACGCGCTGGGGGGCCTCGCGCGTCACAAAGTAGCTGGGCGTCTTCTCCATGGTGATCTGGCCGTCCAGGGTGCGGGGCATCAGGCTCCTGGGCGGGGCAGAGCACATCAGCTCAGGAAGCAAGAAGGAGGAGATCAAATGACCTACCGGGTCTTGAGCTGAAGCCCAGATGGACTCAGGGTCTAAACGGGCTGTAGACGGTAGATATTAAATAATGACACAGACACACAGGAAATGACATCAACAAAACAGACTGTCAGCTCACACTGTCAAACTCACACTTTTATCTTATTTTACGTCATTTTTTCCAGTGCTCATGTTACTGGGAGCTGAATCTGCCTCCACTCTGTTGACTGGTTTTTCATCCAGCTGAGCTCTTAATTAATTCGATTTGATTGCTGCTGATTAAATCACGACCGTGAATTATGTTGACGTTCTTGATTGTTTTAATTTGAAGGAAAACTTGTGCCAGTGCATTTGTCCTTTAGGCTCTTAAAATAGCTAAATTGTACAGATGACCTAATTCAGTACTTACTTCATTCAAAGTCAAATGGATATTTTTTACTGCTGTTTTATTTTCACGAAAGAGCCAGACCGATTAAAGTAACGCATCTGACTCTATGTCCATTCAGCAGAGCAACTTAGACCATAAAGAGCCCAGTCAGAGTCTTCCTGTAAACCAGGCCAACGGACACAGGGCCTTCCCAGACTAGTGGAGAACAAGCAGTTCACTGTGAATAACAAAGCCTTTTCAAGACTGAGCAAAACCCACAAGGTAAATAACCATTAGAGAGACACACATGATGTGCTTTAACAATCACGCACAAGAAAAACAACAAATAAGCAGCAAGAAATACAGACCGAAGTTCTGTGATGTCACACCTGAGTTTACAGGGGCTGTAATACAGACCCTGATGTTATGCTAGCAAAGCCTGTTCTGCAGGCCTGTGAAACATTTACTCATGTGAGATCTGATCATGATGGCATAAGCGTGTGAGGGGGATCAGTGACCGAATGAGAAACAGTATCTGTTCCCGGAAGATTCTACCAAGTTCTGGGGGACTTGCTAGGTGGCAGGAGTGCAAACAGAGAGCTGGTCCATCCAGGGCAGGATTAGCACATACACTACCGTTCAAAAGTCTGGGGTCACTTAGAAATGACCTTGTTTTCCATGAAAACATACATGAACTGAGTTTGAATAGGAAATATATCTAAATAAGTAGGAAATAGTCAATGACAAAGTTAAAAATAATTTTGAAATTAAAGTAATAATTTTTCAAACTTTGCTTTCATCAAAGTGTCTTCCACTTGCAGCAATTACAGCCTTGTAGACCTTGGGCATTCTAGATGTCGGTTTGCTGAGGTAATCTGATGAGATTTCACCACGTGCTTCCTGAAGCATCTCCTGCAAGTTGGATTGGCTTAATGGGCACTTCCTACGCACCATCCGGTCATAACAGCTCAGTAAGCTGAAACCCGGTGATGTTGGCCACTCCATTATACACAGAACACCAGCTGACTGATTCTTCCCTAAATAGATCCTACATAGTTTGGGGCTGTGTTTGGGTTGTTGTCCTGTTGTAGGATGAAACTGGCTCTAATTATGCACCGTCCACGGGGTTTGGCATGGCGTTGCAAAATGGAGTGATAGCATTCCTTCTTCAAGATCCCTTTCACCCTGTCCAAATCTCCCACGTTACCATCACCAAATGAGCCGCAGACCATCACATTGCCTGTGATCGTTTGATCTACATCTCAGAAACATTCTTGCTTGTGATCCGAACACCTGAAACATAGATTAGTCTATCAATAGCACTTTTTCCGAGCTGCCGGTGTCCAGTGTCTGTGTTCATTTGTCCTGTGTCTTTTCTTTTTATTGGTCATTCTCAGATACGGCTTTTTCTTTGCGATTCTGCCTAGAAGGCCAGCATCCTGGAGTTGCCTCCTCACCGTTGACGTTGAGACGGGTGTTTTGCAGGTACTGTTTAATGAAGCTGCCAATTGAAGACCTATGAGGCGTCTGTTTCTCAAACTACCTTCTCTAATATATCTATGCTCTCGCTCAGTTGTGCACCAGGGCCTCCCCCTCCTCTTTCTGTTGTGGTTAGAGCCGGCTTGCGCTGTTCTGTGAAGTGAGTAGTACACAGCATTGTACCAGGTCTTCAGTTTCCTGGCAATTTCTCACATTGAATAGCTTTCATTTCTTAGAACAAGAATAGAGTGTCAGAAGAGTTTCTGACCATTTTGAGTTTGCAATCGAACCCACAATTGCAGAGCTCCAGATACTCAGCTAGTCCAAAGGAGGCCAGTTTTATTGCTTCTTTAATCAACATAACAATTTTCATTTATGCTAACATAATTGCAAAAGGATTTTCTAATGATCAATTTACCATTTAAAATGATAAACTTGCATTAGCAAACACAACATTTCACTGGAACACAGGACTAATTGTTGCTGATAATGGGCCTCTGTACACCCATGTAGATATTCCTTTAAAAAAAAAAAAACGTTTCCAGACAGTATTTCTGATCAATCTGATGTTATTTTAATGGACAGAAACTTTTTCAAAAACATGGAAATTTCTAAGTGACCCCAAACCCCTGTTCTCTTTTTCCCCTGTTCCCCTATTCTCTTGCTCCTATGTTCCCCT